TTGGCTTACCTGCTACTGGTAGAGTTATCCCTGGGCTTTGATGCAGTGATGGCAGATGGGGCCGAGGGCCCTGGGCCTTGTCAGTCTTAAGCGGCTAGGCCAAGGAGCTGTGGGAGTGCAAGTGATTCTTCACCTTTTGTCTTGCTGAAGGGGTGGTGACTCTGAGGTGCAGACTGGGCAAGAGCTTTTTGGCGCTCATAGGTTAGGACATGCCCACACCCAGTAGCTTTCTTTGCCTCATTTAAAACAAGGCCCGGGAGGGCCACTGCTCTCGGGTCTTTTGTGCTCTTGGGTACTATGGCTAGGCTGATGGATAGCAGCAGCTAGAACAGGCGTCCCCAAACTTTTTACACAGGAGGCCAGTTCACTGTCCCTCAGACTGTTGGAGGGCCACCACATACTGTGTTCCTCTCACCACCAATGAAAGAGGTGCCCCTTCCTGAAGTGCGGCGGGGAACCGAATAAATGGCCTCAGGAGGCCGGATGCGGCCCACGGTCCGGTCCGTAGTAGTTTGGGGACGCCTGAGCTAGAAGCTGGTATTTAACACGATCTCTTTGGGCTTTATATAATTTACTTTGCTTATCCCTGTTATTGAGGACTTTGAAATCCAGGTTAAAGAGGTCTTGTTGTGGAGTTTGAGGGCCATCTTCAGCCTTTTTAAGTTTGTGCCCGATACTGGGGGCAGATTGGGAGATAAAATGGATATTAAGAACAATAGTTCCTTCTTGGAAGGCAGGTCAATGTGAGTATATTTTTTGGAGAGCCTTTATAAGGCGGTAAAGGAATTAGGATTTTCATCTGCTTTTTGGGAAATTTCTTTGAGTTTTTAAAAATTCACTGCCTTATGGGCAGATTTGTTAAGACCTACAATAAGGCAAGTAATTATGTGGTTATGTGACACCCAGCCGGGGTCTCTAGGTTGGTACTCCCAGGAAGGCTCTTCCTGGAGAACAACAGCGTGTCCTACAGGCTTAGTAGGATCTTGCTGATGAAGATTGTCGGCGTGTGCCTGGGCTGTGAGCCACACTCTTTACTTCTCTTGCAGAAGGAGAGTAGAAGAGAGGATAATAAAGAGATTATGCCAAGTGAGTTCATAAGACTCTGTTAGATATTTAAATTTTTTGATATAAGTATTGGGATTGGAGGAGAAGGACCTGACATATTTTTCAATTTTGGAGAGATTGGAGAGGGAGAAGGGGATGTGGGCACAGACCATCCCTTCAGCCCTTGATACCTCCCAGAGAGGAAGCAAGGGAGCTGGTTGCTGGGCATGTTGGGCTCGAGAGCGGGGAAGAGTTGGGGACAGGGAGGACTCAGAGTCAGAAGTGGGGTGGTTGGAGAGAGAAGGGGAGAGGGGTAGGGCTATAGCGGGAGCATACGGTGGAGGATCATGATGCTTTGGTGGGGGATTATGATGCAATCTAGGAGGAGGAGAATCAGCAGACCCAAGGAAGAGGAGTCATCAGCTGGGGCTGTGGGGAGAGTGGCAGGAGATGAGTTGTTGGCCAGGGCTGTGGGGAGGGTGACAGGGAGCAAGTTGGGTTTGGAGCATGTGAGGATTTGGAAAGTAGTACAGGACTGGCAGAGGGAAGGACTGCTACAGAGAGTGAAGAAAGCCTGAACATGAGGAATCTCAGACTATTTCCCGTTGCCATGGCAAAAGTTGTCTAGGTCTGTAAGTATATTAAAAGCGCCATATTTGGGCCATTGGTAGCCATTGTCTAATTTGTATTAAGGACAAATGATATTGCAGTAAAAGATAAGCCTCTTAGGATGGACCTCTGAACGGAGGCTGAGAGCATTTAGATTATGCAGGAGACACCATGGTGGGGGGTAGTTTTGGGAGGGGTGGACTGAGAGGCTTCCATAGGAAATGGGGGGGGGAGGTAGAGGAAGAGGAGACTACTGATGACAAAGACAGCGGGAGAGGGTTTCCCCTATCCTTCAGGCCTTGTCTGGAATAGAAGAGGTAGCTGCCAAGTCGGGAATCCCTGAAACAGGAACAGGAACCGGAGGCCTGGAGGCCAGAGGAAGCCCTTGACCCCAGCATTGCATTTGGGGAAGGCAGAGACGGTCAAGGGTTCTGGGTAATCTGCAGGAGTCTCTCATTTACCTCGGTGGAGGCTCTGGTGGCAGATGAGGTTGCCAGCAATGGGAGAGTCTGGGGGATCCTCCGGGTCTTCTGCAGGTTCAGGAAGGGGAGGGTGGCCAGGAGTGGGATGATAGGGAGGGAGGGATAGAAGCAGAGAGAGAGATGAGAGAGAGAGAGAGAGAAAGAGAGAGAGAGGAGAGAGAGAGACGAGAGAGAGACGAGAGAGAGACGAGAGAGAGAGACGAGAGAGAGAGACGAGAGAGAGAGACGAGAGAGAGAGAGGAGAGAGAGAGACGAGAGAGACGAGAGAGAGAGAGACGAGAGAGAGAGAGACGAGAGAGAGAGACGAGAGAGAGAGACGAGAGAGAGAGAGACGAGAGAGAGAGAGACGAGACGAGAGAGAGAGACGAGAGACGAGAGACGAGAGACGAGAGACGAGAGACGAGAGAGAGAGAGACGAGAGAGAGAGAGACGAGAGAGAGAGAGACGAGAGAGAGAGAGACGAGAGAGAGAGAGACGAGAGAGAGAGAGACGAGAGAGAGAGAGACGAGAGAGAGAGAGACGAGAGAGAGAGAGACGAGAGAGAGAGACGAGAGAGAGAGACGAGAGAGAGAGACGAGAGAGAGAGAGACGAGACGAGAGAGAGACGAGAGAGAGAGAGGAGAGAGAGAGAGGAGAGAGAGAGAGGAGAGAGAGAGAGGAGAGAGAGAGGAGAGAGAGAGAGGGGAGACGGGAGAGGGGAGACGGGAGAGGGGAGACGGGAGAGGGGAGACGGGAGAGGGGAGACGGGAGAGGGGAGACGGGAGAGGGGAGACGGGAGAGGGGAGACGGGAGAGGGGAGACGGGAGAGGGGAGACGGGAGAGGGGAGACGGGAGAGGGGAGAGGGGAGAGGGGAGAGGGGAGAGGGGAGAGGGGAGAGGGGAGACGGGAGAGGGGAGACGGGAGAGGGGAGACGGGAGAGGGGAGACGGGAGAGGGGAGACGGGAGAGGGGAGAGGGGAGAGGGGAGACGGGAGAGGGGAGACGGGAGAGGGGAGACGGGAGAGGGGAGACGGGAGAGGGGAGACGGGAGAGGGGAGACGGGAGAGGGGAGAGGGGAGAGGGGAGACGGGAGAGACGGGAGAGACGGGAGAGACGGGAGAGACGGGAGAGACGGGAGAGACGGGAGAGACACGGGAGAGACACGGGAGAGACACGGGAGAGACACGGGAGAGACACGGGAGAGACACGGGAGAGACACGGGAGAGAGACGGGAGAGAGACGGGAGAGAGACGGGAGAGAGACGGGAGAGACGGGAGAGAGACGGGAGAGAGACGGGAGAGAGAGAGACACGGGAGAGAGAGAGACACGGGAGAGAGAGAGACACGGGAGAGAGAGAGACACGGGAGAGAGAGAGACACGGGAGAGAGAGAGACACGGGAGAGAGAGAGACACGGGAGAGAGAGAGACACGGGAGAGAGAGAGACACGGGAGAGAGAGAGACACGGGAGAGAGAGAGACACGGGAGAGAGAGAGACACGGGAGAGAGAGAGCCAGCACGAGAGTGAGAGCGCGCCAAAGCCTACCCCTTCCCAGATTTTGGCACCAAAAATGTAGATTTCAGAACCAAAATGTAAGGTTAGCATCGAGAAAGGGGAGTAGACCCAATGTCAAGCAAGCAAGTTTTATTAATCTGCTGGGCTGCTCCGTGACTATTAGAGGAGGCAGCACCAATCCTACAAAACAAGGCTTTTTTGGGGTTTATATGGGGTGAGAGGGGCATAAGGGAGTTTCAGGATTGAGATAATCTATCAGCTTGTAACAAACACAAAGATAGTTTGTCAGGTTGTGACAGACTTACAATACATCGTCCTGTGACTTTTGTGGAGGCAGTTTTAAAGAAACGGGATTTTACCGGTATGCATAAAACAGAATTTAAAGAAAGATTTGTTTTCTGTGACCTCTCCCGTGCTGCCCAGATGGCTATAATCAGGCTTTGCTCAATTGTAGTGTGTCTGGTGGCCTTGCTGTGGTGCCTAGATAGGAATGCAGCTGCAGAGCAATCAGAGTGGGGGGTCAGCTGCCCCTAACAAAAATCAGAGGCAGTAGCGTGGTGTTTGGCAGGAGCTGGATACGGAGTTTCAATTGGGGCAAACAAGAAAGTTCTGGAGATGGATGGTGGTGATGGTTGCACAATAATGTGGATGTATTTCATACCACTGAACTATATACTTAAAATAGTTAAAATGATAGATTTTGTTATGTATACTACGGTATTTTTAAAAGTTGGTTGAATGAATATATTTTCCCACTACTTTTTTCTACCTAAACTGCTGTGAAACCTTTATTTATAGTATATTTGGCTTTTATTTAAATTAAAAATATAAATGCAAATATGCATTCTATATGGTCAGTTATAAGGTACTTTTACAGATAATAATATGCTTAATTTTAGACTTTTAATGGAATAAAAACAATTAAAACTTTTATAGAGAATTTGTAAATCTTAAGAATATGTCAGATAAACCCATGGAACCTGCAGACCCGTTTAAGCAATATTGCTGAAGAGACTTTGTTGCAACCAGGTTAAAACCCCCATAGCCTGAAAGACCATCACTGGAAGATTGCATAAGAAGCAGGTAACTGGCTGGTTCTGGGAGGTTGACTTATTTTTAATGTACACCATTTTGTATTGTTTAAATTATTTAGCATGTGTTACCTATTTTAAGAAGCAAATAATTGGGTCAGGGATAGGGAACCTCGTTGAAGTGGTTTGGAAATATATTGTTATCCAGAACTTAACATCTTTAACTGGACATCTTGAGAAAGAAAAAGATAAATGCATAGTATCAAGCATTTGAAGCACCTGGAAGTTGGAGCAGTGACTGGCAGGCATCAGTGTTTTCGACAGTGTTCCTCTTCCTGCAGGTTTCGCAGGACTTCCCTTTCCTTCATCCCAGTGAGACCAGTGTCCTGAATCGACTCTGCCGGCTCGGCACAGACTATATTCGCTTCACTGAGTTCATTGAACAGTACACCGGCCATGTGCAACAACAGGTGGGTCCTGTTCTTAGGGAGTGTACACCTGTAGAGGGCAGGAGCTATGTCAAGCTTTCTGTCAATTTATCAGTAATTCATGTGAAATAAGTTATGGATTTCTTATCACTGGAAATTTTCAAGTGAAGGCAAGATCTGTAGTTGGTTTGTTTGTATAACTCTTAAAAGAAACAAGCCTCATAATGTCTTTTTCAGGTTTCAGAGCTTGAGCTGACAAGTTGGCTTCTGTTTGATTTCAGGATCATCATCCATCTCAGCAAGGCCAAGGTGGGTTACATGGAATCTACCTGAGGGCCTTCTGCACGGGACTGGATTCTGTTTTGCAGCCTTACCGCCAAGCACTACTTGATTTGGAACAAGAGGTAAGAAGGAGGAGATATAGGAAACACTTCTGGGACAATAGAGCGTGTTCTTAAATCTGAAATGCCCTTTGGTAAGGTCAGATAGTTAAGAGTGAACAGTTTCTTGCATTGCTGGAGGGTACAGTGGTCTCTCTCTGATTGTCCAACCTGTGATCGGAGTGGCTCACGGATCCTGACAGACTCTTTAGTGAGTTTATAAGAGCCCTGGCTTGGTTTCTTTATGGCCTGAAAATCAGGATTAATAACGTGATTAAATTATCAATTCTCGATAGCCTAAAACTAACACTTAGCCCATTATCAGATTCTCTTCTCATTTTCGTAGATCAAATAGATGTGAGATACTTTGTCTGGAGCCTTAATCACAGCATTTTTTTATTGCAGTTCCTGGGTGATCCCCATCTCTCCATATCACATGTCAACTACTCCCTAGACCAGGTATGCTGCCCAAGTAACCAAATGCCTTGGAATCTGTTGATAGTGTCAGAATAATTTATGACACTGTTTTTGAGAACTTTTTTCTTTTGGATTCAGAGCCCAACATTTTATATTTTGTACATTTTATGTGCTTTACTAGATCAAAACTGTTTAAAGATTTCCAAATGTAGTTAAAACTTAATGTCTGATATTATATGCTAATGTTAATCCTCTATGTTGACTTCAGTATTAACAAGCATCCCAGCTTCAGAAATAGAAACTGCTTCCTGGCAGGGCATGGCAGTGCCCACCTGTAATCCCAGCGCTTGGGGAAGCTGAGGCAGTTGGATCACTTGAGGTCAGGAGTTTGAGACCAGGCTGGCCAACATGGCGAAACCCCATCTCTACTAAACATAGCCGGGTGTGGTGGCATGTGCCTGTAATCTCAGCTACTCAGGAGGCTGAGGCATGAGAATCGCCTGAACCTGGGGGTGGAGGTTGCAGTGAGCTGGGATCCCACCACTATACTCCAGTCTGGGTGACAGTGAGACTGTGTCTCAAAACAAAAACAAAAAAAGAGAAGAAACTGCTTTTCTGTCCTATCCTCTTCCTATCTGCAGCGAACTTCGACATCAGATTGCCTTAGGATACTGGATCTTGACTGTTCTGTGGTATTGCCATTTTCTCTGAAGTTCAACTATTTAGAAACACAAGTATTTCCCGAGTTGATTTTTTCCCTTTACATTTGATTACATACCCATTCTCTACTTTGCAGTTCCAGCTTCTTTTTCCCTCTGTGATGGTTGTAGTAGAACAAATTAAAAGTCAAAAGGTGAGAACTTTCCTTATTCCTTTTGCTCTGCTAAGCACTGAGGGAATATTACTAATTTTGCCTTACATTCTTTTTCGAAGACACTAGTTTTTAGTAGTTTTTATTCCTGTATTTGTTTAACAGTAACTGCTTGTGTATCATGGTAAGTGTCAGGAATGCAAAAATATGACTCTGTCCTTAAACACCTCCTGGTCCAGAAGGTAGAGGAAATGTTAATAGATGTACCCAGGAATGTTTTTGGGGTAAGAAAAAAAGTGCTGTGGATGTTTGCAGGTGAGAGGAACCTGCAGTAAGGGTTTGGAACTGTTGGGTGTGGATCTTGATGAGAGGCAGCAAGGTAATTCTTAATAAGAAGGTAAAACGGTTGGTGTGCTGGCAGTTTTCTGAGAATTATGAAATCAGTGAGTGAAAGCCAGATGTTTATTAAATATGTCTATTCTTATCACAAGTTTTTATCTGGTGTATTGAGAAGTTAGGGCCTCCAATGTCAGGAGAATGTCTTTCTGGGCAGAGTTAATAATTCTGAGGAATAAGTGCTCTGAGATTTCATATTAGAAGATAAATCTGCTGTCCTAGTGAATTGGCCCACAGTTGGACCCAAGAGGACAAATGGATTAAACATCTTTAGCTCAAGTCTTCATTTTATAAGCTCCTTATTTGTGCCTAGCTTATTAGGGGTGTTCATTTTGATTAATATAACTAGTAAACCAGTTAATCTGCCACATTGCTGTATCATTTTTTACTGTGTAAGTGTAGAAACAAGTGCTCTGCTACTTATGCTGTGCCAGCAAGGCCAGTAGTGGGTGTTCATTGGCCCTTCAAAGCTGATTGTCCTGATCAAATAACAACATTTGGCTTTTACTATGCACTTACTGTATACTAGACACTGTGCTAAGTGCTTCAAATACGTTATCACACGCAATCCTCTAAAGGGCTAAGTGTAGGTTAAGGGGTGTGCTCAGGGTCAAACAGTAAATGGGTTTATATCCCAGCTCTATCTGGCTCCACAGAGTGTGCTGTTAACCACTAGATTAAACTATCTCCCAAAATAAAAGAGGATCTTCTAGGCAAGTAGAGTTAGCAAGGACAGCATAATGGAGCCAGGCCTAGCTGCATGTCTCAGTTGGCCTTAAGCTCCACTGGCTACAGGAAGGAGAGTGGAAAATAAGGGGATTGCAGATGGGTGAATCTTCCTGCCAGGATGGTGGTAGAGAAACTAGTATACCAAGGCTCTACAGAGTTTTTAAAAATCAGGTGGTCAAGAGTCTAGGCTGAGGGTAAGAATGGAGATTGGTTGCAAACAAGTACAAAGGGGCATTGTGGAGTAATGAGAATGTTATAAAACTGAGTTGTGGTAATGGTTGCACCGTGTTTGAAATTTACAAAAAATTGATGAGTATGCTTAAAACGGGTGAATTTCATGGTAAATTATACCTCAAAGTGGTAAAAATAAAAGCCTGAAGAACATAGAGGCAGAGGATTTTTGAAAAAGTATATACCTTAGAAGTAGCTGCATTGGGTCTTACCTTGAAATAAAGAGCTTTCCTTGGCTTTGGTGTTACAACTCTTAAATGATTCTGGTTTCTTTAAGTCTGGTGGTTCTCACACTTTACTGTGCATTAGAATCACCTGGAGGGCTTGTGGAAACACTTGAGTGCTCTGCTCTAACCAAGAGTTTGCATAGCTAATAAGTCCCCAGGTGTTACTGCTGCTGATGGGAGAGGTCCCTCTTTGAGAACCACTATGTGTAATCTTGGGACAAAGTTGACCCCCAGTCTCTTCTAGATTGGGCCCTCTTGGTTGAGTATGGAATATGGATTTGTCTTGAATGGACTATTATAAAGGAATCCAGTTTGACGAGACTGTATATTCCACAGATTCATGGTTGTCAAATCCTGGAAACAGTCTACAAACACAGCTGTGGGGGGTTGCCTCCTGTTCGAAGTGCTCTGGAAAAGTAAGTCATGGCTTAACTGGGAATTGGTGGTGGAGGTGGGTGGTCAAATTATTTGACTTCTCACATGTTTTATTTTCAGGTCATTTCAGGTTTTCCTCTTGGGAAGGTTATGACCAGGAAAGAAAAAGCCCCATGAGCAGAGGAGCCTATGTAACTCTTATGATGGCTCAGGCATTGCAATAAGGGCTATAAAATGTTGAGTGTCAAAGCCAGGATTTAGCTGCTTGGATGACCTTGAGGCAATGTTTTTAAATGTTTAGACCCTGTTATCCTTGCAGGAATTCCATTACATGTGCCAGATGTTGCTTGCTATGTCTAAACGTGTATCTGAGTAGCTGGTATTTTCAAATTGAAGGTCCTTAAAAATGTTCATGCTTTACAGTCCCATAATGCCACTTGTAGGAATTTTATCCTAACAAAATTATTTAATAGAAGAAAATAACTATATGAACAAACATGTTGATTGCACTGTTGTCTACTAATCAGAAAATTATAAAATAACCAACACTAGAAGAAAATTTAAATGAAGATATATTCACTTGCTAGACTATAAAGCCATTAAAAGTATAGGTACTATAACATGTAAAATATTTTATATAAGTTTGTACTGACAAATGATAACAAAACTGTATTTGTCTTGTGATTACAACTGTATAAAAATATATGTAGACTATGATCAAAGACTGTATGTTCAATCTTTCCATTTCTCCATTTTCCTTATTTTAAAAAAGTGACATTCATTGAAAAATTATAACAGATAGTCCATGAGGCCACTCACAACTCTTTTTGTTTTTTCTTTTTTTTAATCTTAATTTTTTGTAGAGATGAGGTCTGGCCATGTTGCCCAGGCTGGTCTTGAACTTCTGGGTTCAAGCGATCCTCCCACCTTGGCCTCCCAATGTGTTAGGATTGCAGGTGTGAGCCACTGCACCTGGCCAGGCCACTTAATCTCCTCTCTTACCACTGCATGAATAAAGTCTCATTAAAGTGGGAAACTTTCCACAACATGACTTAGGGACTTAATTCTCTATTATACTTTTATGTATAGAATATAAAATCTTATGTAGATGATGTTATATATACATATTTGTTCTGTGTTTGCAGGGATCAGACTTTACAGACCACATACTCCGAAATGCATAAACGTAAATAGCTTCACATTTGATCTTTTTAAAGAGAGATTCCATTCAGTTGGCATACTACAAATAACAAGCTCAAGCTCTTGTAATTTTTTTCTCCCCAACTTTTTGTTTTGAAAAATTTTAAACCTACAAAAAAGTTGAAAGAATTGTGTAATAAAACACTTGTAGCCCAGGCTTAGTGGCTCACACTTGTAATCCCAGCACTTCGAGAGGCAGAGCAGGGGGATCACTTGAGCCCAGGAGTTTAAGTCCAGCCTGGGCAACATAGCAAGACACTGTCTGTACTAAAAATAAAAAAAAATTAGCCAGGTGTGGTGCCTGCCTGTAGTCCCAGCTATGGGAAGCTGAGGTAGAAGGATTGCTTTAGGGCCAGGAGGTTGATGCTGCAGTGAGCTGAGATCTTGCCACTGTACTCCAGCCTGGATGACAGAACAAGATCCTGTTTCCAAAAAAAAAAAAAAAAAATAACCAGACACTAGTGTATCCTTTAGTTTCACCATTTGTTAACATTTGCCACATTTGATTTCTTTTTTTCTTTCTCCTGCTATATGTATATATGAAATACACAAACCACAATTTTTTTTGCCACATCATTTGAAACTAGTCACAGATATCCTAACACCTAGCACACACCTGTATTCCTAGTGCTTTGAGAAGCCAAGGTGGGTGGATAGCTTCAGCCTAGGAGACCAGCCCAGGCAACATAGTGAGACCCCCATCTCTACAAATATCAAAAAATTAGGTATGGTACATGCATCTGTGGTCCCATCTACTTAGGAGGCTGAGATGGGTGAATAGTGTGAGTCCAGGAGATCAAAACTGCAGTGATCCATGATTGTGGTACTGCACTCTAGCCTGGGTGACAGAGTAAGACCTTGTCTCAAAAAAAAAAAAAAAAAAAAAAAAGAAAAAAAAGGATTCTCCTATGCAATGTCAATTCTATATCACATTCGATAAAGTTATTAATTCAATAATACTGTATCTAAATTTTTCTGTCCCCCAAAATTTCTAGATAGCTGTTCTTTTTTTGCAATCCAGGATCCAATCAGTGTTCACATACTGCATTGATTCTCATGTCTTTTTAATCTTCTTTAATTGAGAACCATCCCCCTTGCCTTTTGTTGTTCTTGCTGTTTTTAATGAGGCTACATTTTAAGAGTTCTGTCCTGTATAATGTTTCACAATCTTTATTTATTTCCATATGATTAGATTGAGATTAAACATTTTTGGAAAGACTACTACATAGGTGACATTATTTCTCATTGTATCATATTAGAAGACACAGAAAGTAAGTTTATCCCATTACTGATGTTGTGAAGATGGATCACTTGGCTTAGGTGTTTTCATCACATGCTGCTCCATTGTAGAGGTCCATTTTCCCCTTTTTAATTAATATGCTATCTGGTAGGTGATCCTTTGAGACCATCTGAATATCCTATTCCTCAACAACCATTCTGCATTTCGTTTTAGTTTCTGGATTTTGCTAGATAATAGTTCTTTATGTATACGTGGCACTCAGATGTTAAATCTTCTCTCTCTATGTGATTCCAACAAAAATAAAACAAATTTAATACTGTTAGCCAAAAAGAGACTCTATTAAGTCCCTTTTTAAAGTTTTTTATTTTTATTTTTTATTGCTGTGAAACAGTTGTACATATTTAGGGCTCATCAGTTTTGAAAATTACATGAAAGAAGGAAAAAAAGTCTTCCCTAAAGTAATATCAGCACGTATACTGAACATTTTAGATTTCATTATGTAGGCTGCAAATATGGAAATTCAGTGAGTTAGTTCACCCACATTTAAATTAAAATAGCACAATTATTTTTAACTTAATTGGTTATTTCCCTTATGACTCATCAAACTCCCTGGCCTCTGTTTATCCTCTGACAGTTTAAAGCATGACTTCTGTGACATTTGTGGGGTTTAGTATTCTCTAAGTAGATTTCTAAGCCTTTTACTTTCTACTCTGCTCAGAATCCTGGCCGTTTGTCATGGGGTCATGTATAAACAGCTCTCAGCCTGGATGCTCCATGGACTTCTCTTGGACCAGCATGAAGAATTCTTTATCAAACAGGGTCCATCTTCTGGTAATGTCAGTGCCCAGCCAGAGGAGGATGAGGAGGATCTGGGCATTGGGGGACTGACGGGAAAACAACTGAGAGAACTCCAGGACTTGGTGAGAGCCCAGAAAGCAGCCTAGCACCCTCCTGCCAGGAGTCAGAAAAGTGTGCAGTCATAATGATCTTCTGGTGATCCCTTCTCAGCTCATAGCTGAGCACCTTCCATCAGTTCTTTGGATGTAATCTTTTCGCTTTATCTTAACTAGCGTGGGACTATAAAATAGAAAATATGTTTCTGAGGTTTATTTTTGTTTCCCCCTTTTCCAATATATGCATTTAACAGATTATAAGTCTTACCTCTAAAGGAGTAGCTAGCCCCTTGTTAGATTTTAAATACAGTTTGGAGTTTTGTTGTTTTGTTTGTTTGCATTTGAAAGGGAGTCTTTCTCTGTTGCCCAGGCTGGAGTGCAATGGCATCATCTTGGCTCACTGCAACCGCCACCTCCCAGGTTCAAGCAATTCTCCTGCCTCAGCCTCTCGAGTAGTTGGGGCTACAGGCGCACGCCACACACCCGGCTAATTTTCATGTAGAGACAGGGTTTTGTTATGTTGGCCAGGCTGGTCTCGAACTCCTGACCCCAGATGATCCACCCGCCTCACCCTCCTGAAGTGCAGGGATTACAGGTTTGAGCCACCACACCCAGCCTATTTGGTGTTTTGATTAGACTCCTCAAAGTCCGACATTGTCCGTATTCATCCATCTATCCATTCATTTATTCTGTGGCAATATTTCATTGAATGCCTGTTATGCCAGGCATTGTTCTAGGTGCTACAACTGTGTAGACAAATAAAAAGTGGTAGTCTCTGTCTCTGAGGATCTTCGTTTAGGGAAAGAGATACAGAAAAGTAAACAGTTACATTATAGTATTCTAAGTGCTCTGAAAAGACTAAATATGAGCATTCTTGGAACATCGTCATGGGGCATGGTCTTGGAGTAACTAAAGAAGGCTTTTCAGTGGAAGTCATGTCTAAATTGCAAAGAGTTTAGGAGAAGAGGTCAAGAAATACCCAGGCAGAAGGAGTAATGTGTGTAAAGGTACAGGGACCATTAAGGACATGGTTCATTCGGGGAAACTAGTAATTCAACTGAAATGGTCAAATAAAGGCTGATGTAAAATGTTACAAGAGATGGTATGAGGGAGAGGTGGTCTTTGAAATTGTTAAATTGGTACTTGATGAGAGGCAAGATCACAAAGGTGCATATAAACAGTGGAAATGAATTTGGACTTTAATCTGAAAAGAGTTGGGGGCTATTGAATTTTAACAAAGTGGGTACCACAGCCAGACTTCATGATAAATCACTCCGGATGCTGTATGGGGAATAATTTTTTAAAAATCAAGATTAGAGGTAAGTCGACCAGTTAAGAGTGCTAGGGAGATGTAGGTCAAAATAATAGTGCCTTAAACCAAAGATGGTAACACTAAATTAAGAATAGAGAGGTGGCCGGGTGCGGTGGCTCAAGCCTGTAATCCCAGCACTTTGGGAGGCCGAGGTGGGTGGATCACGAGGTCAAGAGATCGAGACCATCCCAGTCAACATAGTGAAACCCCGTCTCTACTAAAAATACAAAAAATTAGCTGGGCATGGTGGTGCGTGCCTGTAATCCCACCTACTCAGGAGGCTGAGGCAGGAGAATTGCCTGAACCCAGGAGGCGGAGGTTGCGGTGAGCCGAGATCGCGCCATTGCACTCCAGCCTGGGTAACAAGAGCGAAACTCCCTCTCGGAAAAAAAAAAAAAAAAAAAAAAAATAGAGAGGTGTGAGAGATGCTTAGAGGGTGGAATCAATAGGCCTAGTGAGTGTTTGGAAGTCAGTCAAGAGGGAAGAATCATTGATTATACCCAGGTTTCTGCCTTCAGCAGCAGGCAAGTAATGGTGATAAGGGTGGATACTTCTGGTATGCGGGGAAGAAGATGGGTCTAATTTGGGGGCATGTTGAGTTTGAGGAACTTGTGGAAGATGTTCATTGGGCTGAGCCTGAGGCTCATGAGAGCACTGCAGCTTGCTCTAAATCTATACATGGGAGTCATCAGCATGGAGCTTGGAGGTTTTTAAAATGGGGCCCATGGGTGGCTTCAGAAGGTTCATGAAATGTTATATGTCTGTACATTTGTCTGGAAGGTTCATAGCTTTTATGATTGGAGAGAGATCTGTGACCTAAACTTAAAAACTGTGTGTTACACTGATCAGTCACAGAGGATGATATGATTGTATAAGAAGTGTAGGATGAGAGGAGAAGACAGTCTGGGACAGTGCCCTGAGGCATACCAGCAGAGCAGACATAGAGGCAAGAGCTGGAAAACAAAAAAGACCACCTCTTTCATTGTATAAGTTAAGGAAGGTGATCGACTGTGCAAGTTTTTATGCAATAGTAAAGGTAGCGTGAGGGCCCAAATCCCAGTATTTAAAAAGCCACTCTTATTTCCACCATGCCACTCTGCTGCCTGAAGATGAAATACATCTCTCCAAAACTGGTGATTTGAGAACTATGCAACACCAGATTTTAAGTCCCTGCATCTTTACTTTAAATGATGGGTTGGGAGAGTTCCTAGATATTTTCTTGTTGTTGTTTTCTTCTTGTTTCATACTGCATCTCAATGTGCACTCTTTCCTTGACTAGCGCCTGATGGAGGAAGAGAACATGCTGGCACCATCTCTGAAGCAGTTTTCCCTGCGAGTGGAGATTTTGCCATCCTACATTCCAGTGAGGGTTGCTGAAAAAATCCTGTTTGTTGGAGAATCTGTCCAGATGTTTGAGAATCAGAATGTGAACTTGACTAGAAAAGGTAAAAAACTCCTTGTCCAGTGTACCACATCTTCAAACGTTCTTCTGCCTTAATACTATGTGGCCCCACAGTATGCCTGGTCAGAGCAACTGGCTGGTAATATTCCTGTCCTGAGATTGCAGCAGAATCATGATGTTTGTCTAAGAAGCAGGTGAAGTTGCTGCCCCACCGAGATTAGCCCTCTCCAGAAAACCCTGTCTGTCCTGGGTGCTCTCTGTCTTCTTTTGATGGTGCCTTCCTATTTTGCAGGATCCATTTTGAAAAACCAGGAGGACACTTTTGCTGCAGAGCTGCACCGTCTCAAGCAGCAGCCGCTCTTCAGCTTGGTGGACTTTGAACAGGTGGTGGATCGCATTCGCAGCACTGTGGCTGAGGTTTGCGCTTCATCTTTTTTTTTTTTTAAGGAAGAAAATGGACTAGCTCCCTAGAAAGTGAGTTATTTGGGTGGGTGCAGTGGCTCACTCCTGTAATCCCAACACTTTGGGAGGCCAAGGCAGGTGGATCATCTGAGGTTAGGAGTTCGAGATCAGCCTGGCCAACATGGTGAAAGCCCATCTCTACTAAAAACACAAAATTAGTCAGATGTGTTGGCGTGCATCTATAGCCCCCGCTACTGAGTAGGCTGAGGCAGGAGAATCGCCTGAATCTGGGAGGTGGAGGTTGCAGTGAGCTGAGATCACAGGATTGCACTTCTGCCTGGACAACAGAGCCTAAGTCTGTCTCAAAAAAAAAAAAAGGAAAGAAATTGAGTTACTTGACTTTTTTTTTTTTTTTTTTTTTTCTTGCTGTGGTAAGAGCCAAGCTTGGAAAGAGCTGTTGAAGGTAGAAAATAGAAAAGCCTCTGTTTTCAGTAACAGAGGCAGAACTGCTTTCCTCTTTTCTCATCTAACTAAAAGACAGGTGGTTTTTAGTTAGATGGTTAGTTGAATAAAGGGGAGGTCTTGGTTTCTATTCTGAAAATCAGCATTTGGATCTGTCTCTATCATTTGCAGTAACTCCAAGGAATCAACTAATTCTGATGAAATGTAGTGTCTTTCTTTTTTTCTTTTTTTTCTTTTTTTTTTTTTTTGAGATGGAGTTTTGCTCCTGTTACCCAGGCTGGAGTGCAATGGCGCGATCTCGGCTCACCGCAACCTCCGCCTCCTGGGTTCAGGCAATTCTCCTGCCTCAGCCTCCTGAGTAGTTGGGATTACAGACACGCGCCACCATGCCCAGCAAATTTTTTGTATTTTTAGTAGAGACGGTGTTTCATCACGTTGACCAGGATGGTCTCGATCTCTTAACCTTGTGATCCACCTGCCTCAGCCTCCCAAAGTGCTGGGATTACATGCTTGAGCCACCGCGCCCGGCGTTGTAGTGTCTTTATAACTTGTACTTTCATTTATAAAGATAATAATCGTAAGAGGAAAGCAGAACGAAAATTATTTTCTCATTCTTATAAATGAAACAAATAGCAAGCTGACTTGTCTGGTGTGGCACAGTAAGTAGCCATAGTGAGGTCAGTGCAGGCCTCTGACTCCTGGAGTGCAGGGTTCCTCATTTTGAATTGTGCTGGTGCCACCAACTTCAATAGTGACCAGTAATTTTTCAAATGAGCATATATGTTCTGTGGCTTAGCAGTTGTCTCATGGATATGTGATAACCTGAAACGAGACACTTAGTCAGCTGTGTTAACTATATTCATGGCTTTCAGTGTTGGTTAAGCATAGAATTGCATGAGAAAATTTTATTATTGATTTTCTTATGGGGTCTCACTCTTGTTACCCAGGTTGGAGTGTAATGGCACTGTCTCTGCACACTACAACCTCTGCATCCCAGGAAGGAGAGGGAAGGAGAAGGAAGGGGAGGGGAGGAGAGAAGAGGGATTCATAAGATGATTATGTACACAAATAAAAGTACAAGTTAAAAAGCCATACTAAATGGCGTAAGAACCTACCCCCTCCTGACCAGCGAATCAGAAGCACTGGAACTAAGAACTTGGTGCAAGTGCACGTTTAAAAAATTGCTCATATGGGCCAGGTATGATGGTTCACACCTGTAATCACAGCATTTTGGAGGCTGAGGAAGGCAGATCCCTTTTCTTCCACCTCCGGCTCCCCGACTCCCCGGTGGCCTCTCCTGGTTCCCGGCTCCCCGCTCCCCTCTCCCGGTCCCCGACTTCCGGCTCCCCCGCTCCCGTCTCCCGGCTCCCGGCTCCCCTGCTCCCCTCTCCCCTCTCCCGGCTCCCCCGCTCCCCTCTCACGGCTCCTGGATCTCCCGGCTCCCGGATCCCGCGCTCCCCTCTCCGGGCTTCCCGCTCTCCCCTCTCCCGGCTTCCCGCTCTCCCCTCTCCCGGCTTCCCGCTCTCCCCTCTCCCGGCTTCCCGCTCTCCCCTCTCCCGGCTTCCCGCTCTCCCCTCTCCCGGCTTCCCGCTCTCCCCTCTCCCGGCTTCCCGCTCTCCCCTCTCCCGGCTTCCCGCTCTCCCCTCTCCCGGCGCTCCCCTCCCGGCTCCCGGCGCTCCCCTCCCGGCTCCCGGCGCTCCCCTCCCGGCTCCCGGCGCTCCCCTCCCGGCTCCCGGCGCTCCCCTCCCGGCTCCCGGCGCTCCGCTCCCGGCTCCCCTCACCCGGCTCCCGGCTCCCCTCACCCGGCTCTCGGCTCCCCTCACTCGGATCCCCTCTCCCGGCTCCCGGCTGTCCCGGCTCCCGGCTGTCCCGGCTCCCGGCTGTCCCGGCTCCCGGCTGTCCCGGCTCCCGGCTGTCCCGGCTCCCGGCTGTCCCGGCTCCCGGCTGTCCCGGCTCCCGGCTCCCGGCTCCCCGCTCCCCGCTCCTCGCTCCCCTCTCCCGGCTCCTCGCTCCCCTCTCCCGGCTCCCTTCTCCCGCCTCCCCGCTCCCCTCTCCCGCCTCCCCGCTCCCCACTCCCGGTTCTCGGCTCCCCGGATCCCCGGCTCCCCAGCTCCCCGCTCCCCGGCTCCCAGCTCCCCGCTCTTCTCTCCCGGCTCTCCGCTCTCCTCTCCCGGCTCTCCTCTCCCGGCTCTCCTCTCCCGGCTCCCCTCTCCCGGCTCCCCTCTCCCGGCTCCCCTCTCCCGGCTGCCCTCTCCCGGCTGCCCTCTTCCCGGCTCCCCTCTCCCGGCTGCCCTCTTCCCGCTCCCGGCTGCCCTCTTCCCGCTCCCGGCTGCCCTCTTCCCGCTCCCGGCTGCCCTCTTCCCGCTCGCGGCTCCGGCTCCTCGCTCCCCGCTCCCCGGCTCCCCGATCCCCGCTCCCGGCTCCCCGCTCCCGGCTTCCCGCTCTCGGCTCCCGGCTGCCCTCTCCCGGCTCCCGGCTGTCCCGGCTCCCGGCTGTCCCGGCTCCCGGCTGTCCCGGCTCCCGGCTCCCGGCTCCCCGCTCCCCGCTCCCCGCTCCCCTCTCCCGGCTCCCCGCTCCCCTCTCCCGGCTCCCCGCTCCCCTCTCCCGGCTCCCTTCTCCCGCCTCCCCGCTCCCCTCTCCCTCCTCCCCGCTCCCCTCTCCCGCCTCCCCGCTCCCCACTCCCGGTTCTCGGCTCCCCGGATTCCCGGCTCCCCGGCTCCCCGCTCCCCGGCTCCCGGCTCCCCGCTCTCCTCTCCCGGCTCTCCGCTCTCCTCTCCCGGCTCTCCTCTCCCGGCTCTCCTCTCCCGGCTCTCCTCTCCCGGCTCTCCTCTCCCGGCTCTCCTCTCCCGGCTCCCCGCTCCCGGCTCCCCTCTTCCCGCTCCCGGCTGCCCTCTTCCCGCTCCCGGCTGCCCTCTTCCCGCTCCCGGCTGCCCTCTTCCCGCTCCCGGCTGCCCTCTTCCCGCTCGCGGCTGCCCTCTTCCCGCTCGCGGCTGCCGTCTCCCGGCTCCCCGGCTCCTCGCTCCCCGCTCCCCGGCTCCCCGATCCCCGCTCCCGGCTCCCCGCTCCCGGCTTCCCGCTCTCGGCTCCCGGCTGCCCGCTCCCCGGCTCCCGGATCCCCGCTCCCCGGCTCCCGGCTTCCTCCTCTCCCGGCTTCCTCCTCTCCCGGCTTCCTCCTCTCCCGGCTTCCTCCTCTCCCGGCTTCCTCCTCTCCCCGCTTCCTCCTCTCCCCGCTTCCTCCTCTCCCCGCTTCCTCCTCTCCCCGCTTCCTCCTCTCCCGGCTCCCTCCTCTCGGCTCCCCGCTCCCTCCTCTCGGCTCCCCGCTCCCTCCTCTCGGCTCCCGGCTCCCTCCTCTCGGCTCCCGGCTCCCTCCTCTCGTCTCCCGGCTCCCTCCTCTCGGCTCCCGGCTCCCTCCTCTCGGCTCCCCGCTCCCTCCTCTCGGCTCCCCGCTCCCTCCTCTCGGCTCCCCGCTCCCTCCTCTCGGCTCCCCGCTCCCTCCTCTCGGCTCCCGGCTCCCGGCTCCCGGCTCCCTCCTCTCCCGGCTCCCGGCTCCCTCCTCTCCCGGCTCCCGGCTCCCTCCTCTCCCGGCTCCCGGCTCCCTCCTCTCCCGGCTCCCGGCTCCCTCCTCTCCCGGCTCCCGGCTCCCTCCTCTCCCGGCTCCCGGCTCCCTCCTCTCCCGGCTCCCGGCTCCCTCCTCTCCCGGCTCCCGGCTCCCTCCTCTCCCGGCTCCCGGCTCCCTCCTCTCCCGGCTCCCGGCTCCCTCCTCTCCCGGCTCCCGGCTCCCTCCTCTCCCGGCTCCCGGCTCCCTCCTCTCCCGGCTCCCGGCTCCCTCCTCTCCCGGCTCCCGGCTCCCTCCTCTCCCGGCTCCCGGCTCCCTCCTCTCCCGGCTCCCCGGCTCCCTCCTCTCCCGGCTCCCGGCTCCCTCCTCTCCCGGCTCCCGGCTCCCTCCTCTCCCGGCTCCCGGCTCCCTCCTCTCCCGGCTCCCGGCTCCCTCCTCTCCCGGCTCCCGGCTCCCTCCTCTCCCGGCTCCCGGCTCCCTCCTCTCCCGGCTCCCCGCTCCCCGCTCCCCGCTCCCCGCTCTCCCGGCTCCACGCTCGCCGCTCTCCCGGCTCCCCGGCTCTCCCGGCTCTCCCGGCTCCCCGCTCCCGGCTCCCCGCTCTCCCCTCTCCCGGCTCCCGGCTCTCCCCTCTCCCGCTCCCGGCTCTCCCCTCTCCCGGCTCCCGGCTCTCCCCTCTCCCGGCTCCCGGCTCTCCCCTCTCCCGGCTCCCGGCTCCCGGCTCTCCCCTCTCCCGGCTCCCGGCTCTCCCCTCTCCCGGCTCTCCCCTCTTCCTCCTCTCCCCTCTCCCCTCTCCCGCCTCTCCCCTCTCCCGGCTCCCGGCTCCCCTCTCCCGGCTCCCGGCTCCCCTCTCCCGGCTCCCGGCTCCCCTCTCCCGCTCCCGGCTCCCCTCTCCCGCTCCCGGCTCCCCTCTCCCCACTCCCGGCTCCCGGCTCCCCTCTCCCGGATCCCGGCTGCCCTCTCCCCGGCTGCCCCTCTCCCGGCTCCCCTCTCCCGGCTC